GTTGTACTATTTGCTGTTATGTTAAACTTATATTACAATTTTTCTTCATTACCCATTCAAGCTGTTTCCAAGTATTATTAACATCTGAGTACATTTACTATTTCACTTTAAGCAGCTGCATTATAAAAGATCATATAAAAATTTACCGAAAAGGTTAAAGTTCTTCTTTCTGAGATTCTGTACATTGTTGAAGCACATAATTTGTGTTTACAAATACCTTGAAGAGTAATAGAGACAACACAATATATATATATATATATATATATATGATATTCTGCAAAGACTGAGTTTGATTATGTACTGCAATAATTCTTCTTGCACACAATTATAAATCTCAGTGAGACAGCATTCACCTTTGTTGTGATATTTTGAGGGAAAAAAAAATTTTTGTCTTATGGGGTGATTAATTTATAGGAATCCCTCTTTTGAGTGTGTGTGAGTAATCTTTACACTTTTGCACATAAAAGTATGATTGTTTTTTGCATAATGATTAAAGTTTATTACTTTAGAATTTTAGTTGACAAGCCAAACTATCTTCTCTATTTCTATCACACTAGTACTCTCTGTGATTCACTTATAATTAGGGTGCGAGTTATCATAATCGTTTGGTCTTCTTTCGTCTGAAGATCTTCTGCTCCTTTTGTCAAAGTGCACTCAGGCTGATTCAATTACTTTAGAACCACGTTTTGATGGAATAAAATTATTTTTCTTATCTTCTTTTCTACTGTTAGTTTCACTAACACATTAAATGTTAGGCCTATCACCCCCACGGTAGTTAGCTTCACACCAACTTTATTCACTTTTGCTATTATCTGTCTGCTGCTTCCTGCTCATATCACATTATTTATATCTTTAGCACTTAATCATCTGTCCGCCTTCTATATTCTCAACCTCAATGAATTATTAACAAAACTTCCTACAGTCATCTGCTTTTAACTCTTCTTATAACAAAAACTAAACAATAATAAAACTTCACTCACAAATCTAAATTAATCAATAATATCTGAACAAAACAGTCTTTTATATCATGAACCTGTCAGTGTACTAGAAATAGTAAAGAATTCGTAATAATACAAAAATTCTATTTATCTTGTACAATGATGACTCTCTGGAATTCAACTTTTTTTTTTTAATGTAACTTTTACCTTCTGATGACCCTAATATTACGAGTCAAAGCATTGTAACCATTAAAATCAGAATTTGCCTATGGTAAAAATTGCTGTTATTGCATATTTGAATTAATTACATAGTTCTGTAGATTTTCACTAGACATTAAAATGTGAGATTACATTCCATAACAAAAATGCATGAAGAATGAGAAAAACTGAAAGAAATAGCAATATTTATACACAAACAATTTTCGTACTTACTTATACAAACACTAAACAAAATTTAGCCCTATATACTAAAAAAAAAAGAATATTGTGTGTTTTAAATATTTAAACATAAAAGTATTTTAAAGTTATTTACTTTAAAAATATGTAAATATCTTTAACTATATATTCTGATAAGCAATTTTATAGATAATGAACCTGGATGTCTTTAGTATTACATACAGTGACGTTTTTTTTATGTATTTATGTAAAATTTTATAAGTCATAAGTATACTGTATACCTACACATATCTTAGAAAATGAAAATAATGTTTCTCTCTACAGGAGAAACAATGTTTCTTAAAAATAATAACAGTAATGGAAAAGCGAAACTATTTTAGGAAGGCTAAATGTCTCTTTTAAAGATAGTTTACTTACCAATCACAGCAAGCCTTGCAGATGCTGTGAAGAGAACACTACCGTCATCCGCTTTTCCCAAGCATGAATACTCTCCAGCATCTTGAGCCTGCACATTATTGATGTATAATACACCATTTTGCAGCCGATGAGAAATAGGTAGGGAGCTACCATCAGCTCGAACCCAATTCAAATCTATATGCCTATCAGTACCTGAAGAGAGTAATATTTTTTGTTCCAATAAGTCTCAAAATAGATATATTTTGATAAAATCTTAAAGCTTATTAATAATTTTATAATTTAGAAAAAGAGAACTCTCACCTCTTACAAAACATCGCAATTCTGCATCACTGTCAACAGGAACTGAAATTACACGCTGTTCTACCTGAACATCAGGGATTCCAGTATCAGGATTTTCCACTAGAGTAACAGTAAAAATTAAGATTATTAAAGCCACAAAAGCCATGAGAGATAGAGCTGTCATGTAGTAATTCTATTACAATCAGATTAATTTGTTCACTTAGCTCAATATTTTAAGTAATCTTTC